GGAGATCCAGGAGAACGATATGCACCATCCTCTGACGACAGCAGTTGGTGAAGGTGTTGGCATTCATAACGGGAGTCAGGAGCATAACATACAGTGCTAGAACACGAAGAATTATGAGGCGGTGAAGTGTTACACAGGGGCGCATACTTGCCTGCAGAAGGATGTTGGAAACCCCCATTGCCAGCCACGACCACAGGATCAGAACGGCAGTGATGGCAGGAAACAGGAAGCAGGACTGGGTCGGGAGGATTAGGGGCTTCCAGAGGGCGACAGACAGTGCGTTCTGGTTTAGGTGTCCTCAAATTCGTATCTAATTCGCATCCGGTGGTTTCAGCTCGTGGGGTTGATCCGAACCTTGACTCCTTATTCTGGTTATCCTGGTAACGTTTTTTGTCCGGTCGTCACTGAACTCACGGAAATTTTCGTTCTCAGGCCAAGAGTCAGCAGCTAGTACCAAGTCCCGATGCATTTTATCAATGCCGATCTTAAATGGCACGAATCGAAGATTCGAGATATCCGCATTTTTTCGAACCAACTTCACTACCTTGAGTACTTCATCTTCGCGCAACGAAAGACACTCGCGTGCCAGTGTTGCGATGTCATCTTCTCTAGTGCTAGGTGCGAATGCAGACAAATACACCCACAGTAGGTCATCCTCGAGAGGCACGTATCTGACAGAGTTACAGGCAGTATCATCCGTTCGACGTCGCTTAGCCGAACCCGGTTTAAGATTGCCGTTCAGTTGCTTCGGTCCAAGAGGAGTTAAAGGATCAGGTTGCTTGCTGTCCACTTTCGTAGACAATTCCTTGACCGTGGAATTCAAAAACGCTATATCCTTTTTCATCCCGTTCAACGAATTCGTGATTCCCGCATAATTGCCATCATAATGGGTGACAATGTTGTGGAAATTTCCATTCGCAAATAAGTATCGCGGCGTATCTATACTTTGCTGTCTCAGCAAAGTGTTTGAAAGACTGGTGCACAATGTTCAATACAACGTAGCGTCTCCCATCATCTTTGATGGTCAGCATGGCATTATGAAGCATCGTTCTACAACAACGAACCTCATGTGTTACGTCACCGCACTGTCCCGCGAAGTAGAAGAGACATCGCGTAAGTCTTCGACACTGTACCGCACATTCCGAGTTCACCGACATCCACGCTTTAAAAACTCTCTATTGCTCGTTGGTTCGTAGCATTCTGGAGTACGCTGCTCCGATTTGGTCCCCTTATTATGTAGCTCATGTTCTCACGATTGAACGGGTGCAGAAAAGGTTCTTACGGTTTGCACTGAGACAACTTCCTTGGAACGATCCGACCAATCTTCCTCCTTATTCTGACCGATGCAAGCTCATAGGATTGGAACCACTATCTGTCAGACGAGTAACGATGCAGCGGCTATTTATTTTCGATGTCATTGGAGGATCTATCGATTGCCCTGAACTTCTCGCACAGATCCCGCTCAACATTCCTCCTCGACGGTTTTGGAGCTCAGCTTTAATAGCAGTCCCATACCACAGAACAAACTACGGCTACAGCAACCCTTTTGATTCGTGTCTTCGCTTGTTCAATGTTGTCTGTGACGAATTCGATTTTAACTTGACTAAAAACGTTTTTTTTTTCCTTCGGTTTGTTTTTTCCGTCGATCTTGTTTTCCGTGCTGAGCACCAATGCTACCGACGTGCCAGGAAGGCAGCTCCCACACCTGGACCCTACCTATCGACCCATCAACTCATGAACCGGGGACCAACGGCTTTACTTCCCATCCGAAGGAAGGCGTGATCAGAGATGTTATGCCTCAGAACATCCCGGCGGCGCCGACTGGGATTGAACCCAGGCCTGCTGGGGTGAGAAGTAATCACGCTTACCACTACACCACCGGCGCCGTTTAAAAACGTTTTTAGAAATAGGATTAGTAGTAATTTCTAGTTTATAAGTAAAATAGTTCAGTCTGTACGACTTGTCGAAGACGGTGATAAATAAATAAATAAATTAGCGTTTATTGGCTGCTGTAATTCAGTGCGACTGACAAATTGAATAATGGTGCAGAAAAAGTTGAGTAAACGCTCCCGAACACTATTCTGCTGGCTTCTGCAACTTTTGACGTAGAACTACGCCTTTGTCGACTATACTGGGCTACGAATCAAAATATATGTATGGTGAAATAAGGTTAGGTTTTGAACACTTGGAGCTTTGTCATTTATAGATGAAATTAAAATCAAAATACGCCAATCGATAGGATATTACTTTACAAATCTGCAGAAATAAATACTTTCCCAATTTTTCATAAAAAAACTTTTGAGAAAATTATTCATTCTTTAGTAATATTAGAAACTAGAAAGGTAGACTTTTTCACCAGACACACATTTTACATGTCCATGAAATGGTCATGGCTATATTCATAGAAAAAAAACACGGCATACATGACGCAGTGCAAAAATCTCATAAATAGGACCAACCATTATCCTATACCGAGGCAAGTTGAAAAACATTTCGAAGTTCAAACGGTAGATGTATCTTTTAGCGGAAGTGAATAATCACTGAGATTATTTCTGGTATAGAAGTTTGCGATATTACACAAAGCCTGTCAAAAATAATTACATTGAATATTCACTTCCTCTAAGAGATACACCGTACCGTTTCAACTTAAACCAGTGTACCTTAACTATGATGCTTACTATCAAAACATTGAACAGGTGGAGAACCTGTATACGAGCTTTTGCTCTGACTTTGAAAATCAATAACTGAATCCCCCTAATTTTCAATTAATGTTGTACACCTACTTATTGGAAACCAAACGCTTGATTTGAGAAAAGTCACAGTATTATATTTTGCATCACCCACACCGGAGCGGCAGTTTTTTCACAGCGTCGTAGCGATCGTGAGCAATGGATTCATCGTCGGATGAAGAAGAGCCGCTTTTGCTAGTTTCTTTACAAGCAGAGGAAAATGCGTTGAAGTATTTTGGCAATTTCCTTCATTTTAGTGATATTTGTTTACAGTTTTGTTTGAAATTACAGATTTATCACCACTGGTGATCATGGAAGTTCATGGAATTTTAAAGATAGTTTGTCAATCTTTCGAAAAAAAACTACAAAATTTAACTTCCCCTGGAATGCATATCATCAGAAAAATTAGAAGATCATCGGGAAATTTCATAGACAGACCATTAGGGAAGTTCGCATAACTTCAGAGAAATTTGCAAAACTTCAAAGACAGTTTGTATATCTTCAGATAAATTTGCAGAACTTCAGGAAAATTCGTAGCTCATCAAAAACTTTGCAAAATTTCAAAGAGGTTCACAGAACTTCCGAAATGTTGATAGATCATCAGAGAAATTGGCAAAACATAAGGGAAGCTCACAGAACTTCAGAAAAGTTCGTAGATCATCAAAGAAATTCAAGTTGAAGATTGAAAAACATATCTTCCGAGGAATTTGTGAAAGTTCAAGGAAGTTCATAGAATATCAAGGAATTTTGTAAAACTTCAGGGAAATGTGAAGAACTTCATACCTGTGGCGTGTTGAGCTGTTGGATATTTCCAGAAAAATGACCTTACTGAAGTATTGGGTGCTTACGATAATTTCTGAGCATGCTGGTATCTTTTTAGTTTTTTTTCGAAGAATTTTGAACTCTCGGACAGTCTATTGAGTTCGCTTTAAGTATTCTCCCGATATTTCAGATTAATCATCTCTGCAAAAAAAAAATAGTGCGGATAAATGCTTCTCCGGAACTCACCATTGAATTCATTTGACATACTCCTTAAACATTCAATGGAATTATTCTCAGAACTAAAATTATTTCTAAAATCGCTTTGGATCTTCTCCAGTTCTCCAGATCTTAACAGTTTCTAAATTCTCCTTATAAAAAAATGTAGTTTCACTAACATACATATTCCTTAGATTAAGCATAGCAAGCAAGCATGCAATTGTACAAATTGTGGGTGGTCAACTATCCTCAAAAATACCTTAAATTTCTCCTCCGGAAGCTTTTTCGAAGGGCAGTGAGTTTAAAGCAGTTTACCAATCTTTGTAAAAGTTGAGCAAATTCCAAGTAGAGCAAAGAATTTTGTAAAAGTTCTTGGAACTACATAGAAGCTCTGCTAGAATGTGAAGAATTTCGGGGGGATTCAAGGAGAAATTCCAAACATCGTTTGAGATCTTGGTCAAATTTCAGGGAGCACCTTATATTAGAAAACATGTCATAAACCTAATACCATTAGTCTTTGGCACTAGCACTTACGTTTGATTATTGCTGATCGCTGATCAATATACACATCGTAAAGTCTCTCGGTTTTGCCAGTTGAGTGCATAATCGACAAGTTCATGGGCAAAGTTGCTTAAGTAATTATTTTGCATCCAGCTCTATGACTGGTGAAGTTCCCAATGATGTCCGAATACCGACTAAAGATAAGGATGATTCTCCAGTTCCACCAAATCCATCTCTGCCCACGTCAGTCTAGGTATTATTCAGCACCGTCACCGGATGAGGAAGAACGTTTCTTTGTTATCGAATCACCTCCATTTGCCCACCTCACTAAATAGACAGACGAAATCCGAGCCCATATTTCTACCGTCATGTCATGCAGTAATCCTATACCTTGATCTCATTACAACCAGCAGCATTTTTTTTTTCGCACCTAAATCCATAATCCTTTCACTTGGGTAGAACAAAACGAAAAACAAATGCCATCACATTTCAATCCCACACTTGCCGACATCAAATTCAAACCAGAACTAGGTAGGTGCCAGTCAGTAAGTTATCAGATTGCTCTTTTTCCAGCTCAGCGCTTTGTTGTCTCCGGATCGCTCCACTCAACCCACCTTATTGCTTCTAGAAAGCGCATAAAATATGCAACAAATCATAGCCATTGCAGCGAAGAGGGAATCGGGTTGATGCGTGGGACGATCCGTTCTTTTTACAAAGTGGAGCGCATCCAAAGTTCGTCTCAGAGGATTTCTTTCTGCATATGTTTGACACAGTTTATCTCTCCATTTTCAGATGCTGGAAGCTTCTTTGTTCATCACGGAAAACCTACCGGAGGATGCCGGAGGGCTGTGGGCACTGGTGCACTGTGAAATGTGGTGCGCCCTTGGCGAGCTCGAGTGGATCCCATTTCCGGTGATGCGGAAGTCGTTCGATATCAATGTGCTCGGTAAGAACTGCGCCACTGATCCAAAGTGAAAGTTAGATTGATTTGAACTTTTCAGGAGCATCCCGACTGACTCAAATCATGCTGCCGTTGATCCGTCGTGCCAACGGGCGGGTGGTGTTCCTGTCGTCGGCCATTGCTCACATTCCCTCACCGGTTCGGGGCATCCAGTGTGCCACGCAGGCGGCCATCGAGGGCTTGGCTACCTGTCTGCACCATGAGCTGAAGTCCCGCACCGTGAATGTGTCGATTATCTGTGCCAGTGAGTTCTCGTCCGGAAATGCCTGGCTCGACGATAGCAAAATGATGGACCAAGCCAAAGCCATGTGGGAACAGCTGAGCGAGGAGCAGAAGTCTGTCTACGGAGAGGACTACTTTGAGACGGCCATCCGTTCGCTGGAGAACTATACCAATACTGTGAGTATAGACGACTTCTGATGAATCAGGATTTGAAAATGGAACCATGCGTTTGCTCTCAACTCCGTATTTGTCGAACGGAAAAATATTCTGGAATCAAACTCTTTAGAACGGTCAAGATTAAATAGCAGCGACTTTACCGATTGAGTTTAGAACGTCCATTGTGTCCAATATCGGAAACGTTAAAATTTTTGATAAGTACCTATGTATTTTATTTCATAAGTTGAGCATTTTCAAATTTGATTCAATTATTCCACTGTCCCAGATCGAGATTCTAGGGTTCAGGTATATGTTATGTTTGAAATACCGTATGCGTGATAATGTTTGCACCATCGTACAAATAAGGTTCCCGTTTCACCTGTGCATACAATGCCTTGGTTTTCTTTGCATGCACGTAACCTATACCTCATACCGTAGTAGGCTGTGTATAAAAGAAAATGATTTACTTAGTTTGACCGTTGCACCATGACGGAAGTGGCAGCGTATTCGTGAATTGTCCCACGCGTAAATGTCGCAAAAAGACATTTCAATCGCCGTGGGAGTGTCCCGGTGGACTGTCAAAAGGGTTTTGGAACGAGAAAAGAAAGGACAACTATCCGCGAAGGTGGTAACAGGTCGTCCGCGGTCAGCTCTGGTTCCGAGGGCTATCGCTGCTATCAAAAGGAAGATTCGGATGAACCCAATAAGGAAAATGGCAAAGGAATACGGGATCAGTGACTTTACGGCACGGAAGATCGTAAAGGAAGATTACCTGGAGAGAAATGGATCCAGACTACATTATTAGAACCTGCCCTGCATTCCGGAAGCGTGTGGAGGCCGTAATTGCAGCAAGTGGAAACTCGATCGATGATTAACATAGTTTAAGACTCTAAAGCAAGCACCACACGGGAAAAAAACATTGTCAATACTCAAAAGTATTGATAATCATATTGATGCAAATATTGACGACGAAAATATTGATGAGCATATTGACGAAAAAACCAGAAAAGTTTGATTTCATGTTTCAATATTTCCCCTCATTGTCTCCTTCTGTTTGACTTCAGCAGCAGATGGTGCCTGTTTCTTGGCAACTTTTGTCGAGGTGGTTGTGATTTGACTCGGAATATTCCATCGGATACATCAATGTTAGTGAGGAGCGGCCCAGTATTGATGAACCCCCGAAAACTTTGTAGAAAGTATTGACATGAAAATATTGATAGAAACATTGACGAAATTTCTATCGTGTGGGGTGCACCTAAGAAACATCCTCCTTTGAATAAATAAAAAAAGCTCGAAAACGAAATTTTTGAGATTTTTTTTTAAATTTTGACATTAGGGTAAATGACGACTTTGGCAATACCTTATTCTATTATCTTCAGGGTAAACAACATCCTTGAGAGCTCAATTTTGCCATGTGGATACATAGTGTCTCTGAGCATCTATTGTCCAAAGTTGAGTGCTCTAGGACTTTGTTTACCTTCCTGACGATAATAGGTTAAGGTGTTGACGAAGCCGACATTTCCCCTACTTAATGGTGCAAACATTATCACGCATACTTGGATAACATAAATCTAGCAGCTACAATCTGCCGAAAAAATAGTCGTAGAATATATGTACATACATAAGGGCCATTTGTATTTCTCCTCGGCTCCCAATCGGCTCTACCGCCAAAAATACGGCAGTATCGGAAGACTAGAAAACCCCAGCCTGTCCCCATATATATTATCCATTGGTCTTAAGTCATTTGTAGTCTCTAATTCTAAATACAGTCCAGTAAAGCATTCCTGACCAGAAGATAAGTGTTGCGTGTTCGGTGCAGGGCGTCACAATATCAGCTTCAATCGACCAAATCGATGCGACGAAGAGACTGCTGGCTTTCTTTTTCTGTTAAAGTCGAACAGCTTCGCAGCATTCTAGAACCTCAGTCGGCGTGCACAAACAAATGTTCGATCGCTTGTCTTCCTTTCAAGCTTCGGTGAAACGTATGAGCGAAAGAGCGCTCGACTTTGATAGTTTTCTCTTTCATGAAACACATCAACAGAGGTTTCATGACGTATATGACGGAAAATGAAATAACACATTTAAAGCATTTCTCACGTGAAAACACGTGAAGATTACACGTAATATTTTTAATTTATCTTCCATCCATATATTTATCTAAAAATAATTATCAAAAACGGGACATAACGCATTTTAAACAAATTGAAAGAGCGGTGATAGAGTGTTCGTGAAAGGGGATTGAAACAACAATCAATACGAAACTAACGATTTTAAATTGGCTCACCACTTTAGTAGCCTATTGGTCCCAAGCAAACGATTAACGTACCCTATTCTAGTTGAAATTCTATTACTACACTATGTTTGTTTTGATTCGCTATGAAAGTTTGACAGATAACATCAGGGGTGTGTGGATTCATGCAGAACATGCAGGGGTAAGTGAAATAGCTTGGGACTGCTTGGGACCGTTGTTCTGGTACTGAGTGAGCCAAAAATAATAATGATTTTCTTCGGGACCCAGTGGTCTTAGAGTTACCTCTATGATTGAAAGCCATAATGAGGTTTCGTTTAACTAGAAAGTCGACGTTAGTTACATTGAAAGCGATGAGCAAAGCAACGACGAGTAGTTCCACAGCCAGCCTTTCCTTCTAAGCGTCCTGCTTTTTTATTTTCGTTTCTTGCTGATAGTCTAGCTAGACGTTATAGAAATGAAGCGTCGAACACGTATGTATGAGAGAAAAAAAACACGAGTTCATTTTAGAGCTTCGAAAATGTAGAGCTTTAGTTCGGTGTATCATGTTCAATAAACTAACTGTCACAAAGAACAATTGCAATTATCCGTTTGTGTACCCGAGAAGAACTCAGTGGACCTCCATATTCCGATAGTGACCTAAGCGGCGCCGGTGATTGCCTCTCACCCCAGCAGGCCTGGGTTCAATCCCAGTCAGCGTCGCCGGGATGTTCTGAGGCATAACATCTCCAATCACGCCTTCCTTCGGAAGAAAAGTGAAGCCGTTGGTCCCCGGTTCATGAGTTGATGAGTCGATAGGTACGGTCCAGGTGTGGGAGCTGCCACCCTGGCGTCGGTAGCATTGGTGCTCAGCACGGAAAACAAGACCTACGGAAAACAAACCAAGAAAAAAAAAATCACGGCACCGATTCAACAGACACTTACTGTGCGTTACAATTTAAGTTTTTTTTAAACACGATGACCACCATCTGGAATTTAAAAGTGGCGTCTTCTTCTTCTTCTTCTTAAAATTCCAAGCTTATTGCATATCGCATATTAGCTTATTGCGTGCTCTCAACTTAGTGTTCTAGATGCACTTCCACAGCTATTAATTGAGTGCTTTCGATGCCTGTACCATTTTTGCATGGGTATAATTGTGTGGCAAGTCCAATCATACTTCTATGCCCAGGAAAGTCGAGACATTTTCCAACCCGAAAAATTCCTAGACCGAACCGGGAATTGAACAAAGCCACCTCCAGCATGGTCTAGCTTTGTAGGGTATTTGACAGCATTTCTAAAATATATGGCCATGATGGATTCCAAAATGGCGTTTTGCAATGATATCTGCCTTCTTCTTCTTCTTCTTTCCTTTATTTAACGTCGGTCTCTGTTCCGCAATCTAGTGCCAATCACCGACGGACATCGATTGCCATCCATTGACGACAATCGAGTGTGCAGAAAGGCAGGTTCCACACCTGCGTAGGATATCGCACCCATTCATCACCACACATAGGCCGAGACCAACGGCTTTACTTCCCTTCCGAAGGAAGACGTGACTAGAGATTTTTATGCCTCAGAAAAATCCCACCGACCTCGGCTGGGATTGAACCCAGACCCAGGGTTAGAAAGCAGTCACGCTTACCACTACACCACCGGCGCCGGCCGGAAGCAAAGATCATCGAAGAACCCCAAGAAAAAGCAATGCAAGGCAGACACCTCCGTGTTCACCTTGTCACCTTCTGGAATGAACACCGGGTCCATTTTTTTGCCATCGGAAGCCACCAATCCAAACACCATAACGCTAGCAGGATGCTTGGTCAGATACACGTTCTTGTGCTCGTTGGCCACGTCTTTTACCGGAAGAGAACTAATTCTGGAATTTGATACGGGATCGACGGTAAACATGCTCTCGTCGGTGAACAGGATTACCGGATTTTTTCGCTTAAGGAAGTTCAAGATTTTCTTGCATCGTTCGACTCGTAGCCAGTCATGCAAAATATCATGACACTCACGTGACACTCGTCTTCGCATCAACCGACTATCGCTGACAGATCGTTTTGTCACGCAGTGAGAGTTAGAGCCATGGCAAACAACAATCACCAGTAATGGTCGCTACTCACAAGCAAAAAGTTACACTCGCTGCTGATGATGAAAAGCACAACGAAAACAGTGAAGACTTCTGCAGTACGATCATGAGAAAAAGCGAAACGACAGAAGAAAATGAAAACAATGCCTAGGCATTCCACGATTGTCTCGGCAGGCGCGACTGTGTGAGTTACAAATAAAGCAGGCAACATGAAACGGAAGCTCTTGGGCTCACTCTCCAACACACTCACATAAGCAAGCAAAGCAGCAACTGCTTCAAAACGAGCACAGATGAGTGTCGTGATTGTCGGGAATGACCAGATCGGTGATGGATCACAACAGAAGACGACATTCACCAGTTGCTTTTTACTTCTTTCGTCAACTTGATGGATGGTCATGGAGAGAGCTTCGACGAGCACATTGATAGGAATGTACAAAGCGTTACTACCATCAGCTGTTTGATGATAGTGATTGTGATAGGTCACACCTCTGGGAAGACGTGACCAGAGATTTTTATGCCTCAGAAAAATCCCACCGACCTCGGCTGGGATTGAGCCCAGACCCATTGGGGTGTTAGAAAGCAGTCACACTTACCACTACACCACCGGCGCCGGCAATATCTGCCTTCTAGGCTTTCGAGAACTAGCATATTCAGGAAGTACATGTGCACAATAGCGCCGCGTAAAGAGTGAGTTCTGATGTAATATGACCACCATCCAAAAGTACTTGGTCACCTGAACAACTTTGCTCAAGACAGTAGCTTTCTACATGGCCAGGATCAAGAAATACTCTATTTTGGGCCTAAGCTCCATATAAGATAGCGCCTGTCTTAAGTAATATGAAAGTGAAGCGCCTCTAGTGGTGTAGTTTCCAATTAATCCTGAATCAAATGACACAGGCTTGTTGGTCTACCCCAGTACAACAAGTTACTCCAAAATAGTATAGCTTTAAATAGGGGAAATGTCTCTAATGTTGGCCTATGGACATTGGCGTAACTAATGGGGGTGCCAGGGGGGCCAGGCCCCCTCCAGAATCTTTGGTGTTTGTTTTTGACTCACCGGTATTTTGTGAAACTTGTTAAGTTCAATGCTATTATTTAACAGTGATAAAATTGGACAACGAACAAAGATTTTTTTAAAGTCCTATATGTTGATTACTTTTGTTATGTTCTGAAGAAACAATTTTGAGAAATTATATTATATCAAATCGATGGCATTAAGACGTCTTCAGCCTCTACAAATTATCCATGAGCCCAGGAATTTTTCTTTAACTTGTGGAAACTTCGTGATGTTCCTTTAACTTCTACGAAGCTCCGCAAATTTAAATGAATTCTCTACTTCTACGCAGTTTTCAGAACTTTTCCAAGTTCCTTTTTTCTACGAATTTTTCTGAAGGTCTATGAATTTCCCAGAATTTCAACCAAGTTTACTTAATTTCTACGATCTTCCCTGAACTTCTATTTGAAGTTTAAAAAACTTCAAATAGAAGTTCAGGGAAGATCGTAGAAATTAAGTAAACTTGGTTGAAATTCTGGGAAATTCATAGACCTTCAGAAAAATTCGTAGAAAAAAGGAACTTGGAAAAGTTCTGAAAACTGCGTAGAAGTAGAGAATTCATTTAAATTTGCGGAGCTTCGTAGAAGTTAAAGGAACATCATTTTATTTAAGGAAGCTCATTATTGGTCGGGAAGCTCTACATAATTTCAGTTTTTTTAGCCTCATGGACTCGGAATAGTTGTGGAGATTCAACAGCAAACTTTGTAAAAGATTTTCGAATTTCGTAGCATTTTGAGGAGCTGCGTAAAACTTCATATAAGTGTAAGGAATTTTGGAAAAGTTCAGGGAATTTTTTAAAAGATCTAAAAATAGTTCAATAAACTCCTAAGCTTCTAAGAACTTCAGGGATCTTCGCTTCCGTTTAGGGAACTTCGTTCCAGTTTTTCAGAGATCTTACTCCAAAAAAGCTTCATGAACTTCCAGGAGGTTTTGGGAACTTCGCTAAATTCAAGGTACTTTCTAGGTGTTCAAGAATATTTGTAGATGTCTTAGGTGGCTTTCCAGAAGTGCAGAAATGTTCAAAAAAAAAATGGAATTTGCAATAAATTCAGGGAACTTTGTAGAAGTTGAGGAAATTTGGTAAAACCTAAGTTTTGTAGATGTTCAGGAAACGTTGCATAAGTTACAGGATGTTCTTTCAAACATCCTTCCTAGACATCAGGAAATATTCGAAAGATTTCCATATAGTCCAAGATATTAGTAAAGTCCACTGAATATTTGGTAGGTTGTAGGTTGCTCAGAAAGTATTCAAAAGTTTTCCAGCTAATGGAATCAGATGGAATCTTGAATGATGAATCTTGATTTTATGGCCATATTTGAATATTATCTATAGGGAAGACCCGTGCCTTGGTGTTTTAGCTATACTGTCACAAATTTGCACTCCAGCAACTAAATTCCGGGCAGAAATATCAATTTCTGCATATACCAAATATGTATAAATTTCTTTCGTTTCGATGAATTGTATGCCCGGAATTCAGCTGCAGGATTGTTTGCATAGATCAGTACATAAAAAATGCGTGCTTTTTGTGTGTTTTTTTTTTTATTAAATAAATAACTTGAAAAAGCTCTTTCCTGTATAATGTACATGTAAATAATTAATTGATACCAAATGGGTTTAACCACAACTAACTAAATTTAAAATATTAAAAGCATCCCAACTTTTGTAAAAAAAAGTTAAATTACAGGAACACAATCATGCAAGTTTCAAGTGTATTCCTTTCGATTAGAAATATATTTAAATCTTGATTTTGTTAGTTGGTTCTTAAATTTAAAAAAAATAATGTTCTGGATAAATGCTTTATTACTTTTTTTTTCACTTCAAATATAAGAATCATGACATTCAAAATTCAGTATCTTAAAAACCTGATGAAATTTCACAATTTTTGCCACATGTCAAGATTTTTCGAAATTTTTGATTCCTAATTTTTTCTTACTTTCTTATCGTGAACAATTTTTCTCTCGAGAAATGCTGTGAGTCTCAGAATCTAGAATTTTGAAGACCAGGAGATTCAAAACTTGTCTAAGCCTATGATATCGAAATTTTTTTTAAGTTTTATTTAAACAAAATTTCGTCCATATTTTTTTAGAAGGCCATGGAGTTTTTTTTTAACTCTTGATTAGGTCAAACATACTATTAGTATTAATATTCTTATTTGTTTTTTATATTAATGTACTAGAATTTTGATGAAATGAGTGTCCAGGAAGGATATTGCAATTTTATCTTAGTCTTATAATTGATCTAAATTCGTTAACTTTTTTAAACATTTTTATTCGAAGAATTTATGCTTACAATCTGAATCAGAGATATTCTTTTTTACTAGTTAAAAATCTTGAAAACATATGGGTTGGGGATCACAAAACTATTTCTATTTTAACATTAACAATGTTAAGAACTGTGCATCTGCAGCATGTACGTAATTAGTGGATTTGTTAGTTATTTCGACGCTTTTTAACAATGCTTGACTTTTCCCATTTTTTTTTAATAATTTCTTGTTGAAAATCAGCAGCATTGTTATTGATGCGTAGAAATATTTCTGATCGATTGGTGATAAAATTATTGAAATTGGTCCAGTAGCAGCTGAGTTATTAACGTTCAAAATCTTTCATAATTTCGTTACATGTTCCATTTTAAGTTTTCACAAAGTTTACCCCCATATAGAAATCACTGACGTAGTCCTACTTCAAAAAATTTGTGCAACTTGAATATTTTCCTACGTCCTAAACGTATTAAATTTATTCTGTGTGCACTTTACCTTGAAACCGCCAGAATTTTATAGAATTATAAAATTCAAACTCCTAGAGTTTAATTTTGGTTCCTATGTCTGAGATTTGACTGATGGTAATATATCCAAAATCAAAAAAAAAAAAATCTAGTTACAAATTTCATGAAATTATCTAACTCTGAGAATTTTCTTAAGTTTGAGATGCTTACAAGATCTGGATTGTGATTTTATTACAAAAAACATGAACAAACGATCGTTGCTTGTTCAAAATCAGTAAGCGTTTAAGGCTCTCCCAATCGTTGTTATGGAATAAATATAATCAAATTTATTGCTTCACCATTAAAATAATAGCAAGTCTCAATGTCATATTATCGGTCACAGAAAAAAAAAATGTACCCAAAAATAAGTTGCCTTGGACGCAATTTGAGTGAGTTTTTAATAAACCGTAGTTTTGCAAAATTAAAAAAAGTGAAGCAGACACCCCTTCGGCCCCCTCCAGATAAATTTTCTAGCTACGCCAATGCCTATGGATCTAAGATTGGGCCCATCGCTAAAAATCTGATATTTATCAATTTTATCTAGATGAACGCGTTATTGGGACGTTACTAATAGATATTTTTGGTTGCTATTGAAAATTTAGTCAATTGTTTAATTTATGTATGGGCCCAAATTAGGGACACTTAGGCCGACATTACCTGCATTTCACCTATTTTGAAACAAAGGATACAATCGACCACAGCCACTATGAGTGAAAATCGCATTAGGGTATCCCTTATTCGCGGATAGCCCGGCAATAAGGAATTAGTTAATATTCATTCCCGTTTTTATTCCAGGATGGTGACTTCCACTCGACGGTCCGCGCTCTGACCGATGCCATCATCCGTTCGTTCCCGCTGTTCCGTTACACACCGTTATCACGCTACGAAAAGCTCCAAACCATCGTTTCCGAACATTTGCCGCGTTCAGTTTACGAACTGTTCTACTCCAACTGAAAAAAGTGCCTCACTGCGAGTGGGAGCATTTCTGGCGTTAACCAACGTTGGACTGGATTGGGGCTATGCTGCTAAAGCTTTGCAAAATGATCGAATTTTCGTGTAGATTTTAAGGAAAAGGCGAAGCTTTTACTCATAATCAATTACAAGTAGAAAGAGCAAAAGAGAGTTGGTTTGGTGTTAGAGCAGTTCAATGGTTTTCCGTTTTTGACAGAGTGTACCACAAAATCGGAAACAGCTTTAGGCAGCTTGAGTGTTTAATTGATTTTTGTAGATGTCCAATATAGGTTGTTTGCATCAGTAAATTAGAAAACTAAACTGTAGATTATCGTTGTTTGCTTAAGCATAGTTTAAGATAATAATCAAATATACTCTTTTTCACTGGTTACCGAAAGCTAAGTTTAGTGTTTAATAAATGTTAATGCTATGGAAAAGCTTCAAGCAAAAACTTCCAACCCGTGCTGCCATCTTGGTTTGGAATCAGAAATCACCACATCATCCCCAACCATGGGTAACGCTTGCTCGTCACACATTGTTGTTTGCTTACGTTAGCCGTTTGCACGCACACACATAATCAATGATTGAACGGTAATGTTGTTGGTGTCGGAATTTTAGAGCCCTAGTATGTGTTACGATCTGTCAGCCAGCAGTGAGGAGGGCCGGAAAACTGCATCAGCATAAAAGTAAACAGAAGCAGTCGCCTAACACGTCACGGTCAGGGTTGCTTAGAAATTGCAGTGTAGCGAGTAATAGAAAATTCGATTGTTCAATAAAAAAAATCGGTGAATCCAAATGTCATACTTTGTGAAGTGATTGTGAAATACTTGATTAGGTAAGTGGTTAAATCCAGGTTTGTTATCTTCCGAAAACCGCAACGATAACATGGCAAACGTCATCGAAGGCAACGAAGCGCGCAAAGCGCATACTCAACGTGGCGCACTCTCTCTTATCAACTCTCTTCGGCATTCTTTGTTGGGCCGGATTTTCTCTCGGTTTGCACTTGACAAAAGTGTATCACGATTTCGGGTCACAAATACCAGCAGAGCCGGAATTCATTCATTGCTACGAAGAGAATATTGGTTTGTTTTTTGTCATGGATCAGTGCTTTATGGAACGGAAAATACAGGAACAAAAGCAACAAATTTGTGAATGAATGTTTGGGCCATAAACGAGGTCATAATTAACCTGTGGATTGATTGGCATCTTGGCGGGGCTCGGTTGAGGAAGGCAAGGCAAGTGGTGCGATACGGAGAAAGCGAACCGTGCTCGTTCGAACGGGAATCGATTCTGGCTACCTTGACCTAGTTTGCAGAATGCTTTAAAGTCTTTTGGGGATTTGGTTATTCAAGAACTTGGAACGGTCTTTTCTGGAACTTATTGCTTTTTTCAGTACATCCGCAGTAGTTAATTGGGTTATTATCGATACTCATTAAAAATGACGAAAATTAAAATGAGTTAACCAGCATATTTAACTTGCCGAAATAATGGTAGAATAAGTTGAATGCTGCCACACTTTAGCTATGCACCATCACCATGATGACGACGGTGATGATACTTTGGTTTCTATTCATTAATCAATCAAAGTGCTTCGAAGGTTATACAATCATCTGGCGAATTAGCAAGTGAAGATCAATGCACAAACAATTCGCTGCGCTGTGCTGGAGGCCACTGCCACTTGCCGATAATTATAGGAATATTTTTCACCTTCATCATCACTCGCCTCATCACCATCAACCTCTAGAAGCTACCAACGGGCGCAAGATTTTTGGCAACAAAAAAAGTAAACCCAGCCGAGCGGGATCACGAAAACGAATGAATAATTCCGAGATTTACTGTTTCCATGGGACTGAAAACCGGGTTTGGCTTGCGTTTTATTAAATAATTCGTTGATTTTCTCTCGCTATGCTCGAAGTGGCACGGCCTAACACAATCATGGCTCTTCAAAGCTCGGGGATCAAAAAATTATCACACCGTTAACTCCACTAGACATAAGCTGGAATCAAAGAAATATATACCAAGACACGTGGTGAAAACTGTATTTGTAATTTCTAGGCAACGTAGCATTAAAGGGTGGAGTTGGGTTTGTAAAAGTTGTAACTGACCTAAGGAGGGGGGTAATTGGTCAAAAATCGGTTAAACTTTCGGAAGCAGACTCCATGGAGGGCTGTTAATAAATTTCATAGATCGTTTTTTTTTTAGGACTGTAGACCTCCCTTTCCCCTCACGTAGACATTCGTCCATAGAATTTTTTTTTTTTGGAATTCCTATATGAACCGTAGACACTTACTAACCTTACCTCCAAAAATAGTCCTAACGTAGGATGAAAATGTATTAATTCGTTTCGCTGCACGACTGAAAAAGTCGGCTAGCCTGTCCTCAATACTAAGCTAGTCATCCGATTGATACATGTAGACATTAAGTTTGTGTGTTTTAATATTATGTCTGCATTGCCAACGTTTATGGTTTTTTGAAGTGTTCATCGAAAGCCTAACAAAAAGGCAAAATGAAGAACTTTGATTTCTTTCCATACAGCTTTTATGCTGGTTGATGATTAATAAATATGGGAAATGACATGTTTGAAACACGAAAGGCTGTTTTGTCAGAACTTGTTTTTTTATCATCCGAGCTTGGCTTATACAATAAGTCAAGATCAATCAATGACGCACAATTTTGCACAGTTTGTTATGTTTTGAATCTTGTACAATCTTTTCTTAGCCTTTGCGTACCTAACGTCTAAATTTGCATCGTTTTCTAAATTCAATTAGCCCTAAAAACCTCATTTCTCAATCCTTTTCTGCACAAAAGGTTGCTTTTTTCGGGAATTTTTTGAATCCGTCTGGAAAAATTGGTGGGGTTGTGTACAAGACACGACCGCATGGTTGACGTAGGCTACGTTAAGCTGTTTAGTAATCTTCAATACGTTGATGATTGCATGCGGTATGTTGTCTTGTCCGGGATTAATAATGACAGAATTCAGGTGCTGTATGTCTGGAAGTGCTGAGGGTTTTGTTGCTTGAAGCGGAGAATCAGTCCCCTCTACTGTGGATTCTCCGCAGCGAAGTTTTCCGCATCCGTTCGGCACGTGAAACAGCTACGTAAGGAATATCCTTTTCGACCACAGCGATTACAGAACAATACTGCTTGTGGTTTTGGACAGTCCATAAAATGATGACCTTCTTCGTCGCAGTTCCAACAAGACATGGAACCACGAGCGCTATCAGCTCCCTGCTGTTGATTCCCGCATTGTGCCATCGATAATTGAACATGATTCGATCTTGAATGCTGCTGCTGTCCTGTTTGCTGCACTTGACCGGAAGACCACCGTTGCTGTTGCTGCATCGGAGACCACGACTGTTGCTCCTGCTACTGCGCCGTGGACCATGGTTGCTGCTGTTGCCTTGAAGCATAGGGTTGCTGTTGCTGATTCGATGGTATCTGACGATGAGCTTGGTGCTGCACTGTCTGCTGCCCAAATGGCGTGCAAGTTTGGGTTGGTGCGGAGTTCCCTTGGGGTCTGGTATTTTTTCGGTCGTACTGCACTTTCAATGCACTGACTTGCTCCAAAAGCTGATCCAACCTCCATGTTCAGGCTTCCACATCTTGTTCCTCCGTTGTCACCCGTTCAGTTTCTATCACCCGCTGCATTGTCGCTGGTACTTCCTGTCTTTCCGTCGATTCCACAGCATTAATCCTCGGAAATCTTTGTGGCTGAGCGGAGTTGAATGGCTTTGAAGCGGTTGCTGGAGTGGCAAAGTTGGGCTCCAGCAGAGCGTTATGCGGTACTGGGATTCTGCGTTCCCGATTCAACAACATTCTGATTTCGTCGTAGCTCGTGCAAACCTCTACCATGTCTTGCAGATTGGCTGGCCTCACTGCCGTTACTATCGCCGCATAGTCGGCGTTCATGTTCTTCTTAACGATGAACAACTTTTCCTCCTCTGACATAGGTGGCGATACGAAGCGAAAGAGAGCAGCAATATCGCGATAGTATTTGGCGAATGATTCATTCTGCCCTTGGAATCGGAAGCTGGCCTCCAGTCGCAGTAGTTGAGCGTATCCGCTAGGGAGAAACTCCTTCCTGATTTCCCGCTTGAAAGCTTCCCACGAATATAGTTGGTGCTGGGACATCTTCCTGAAGTAAATGTTTGATCGAGGTGAGTAACAAGGTGAACAACGTGACGTCGTATTTTTCTCCGCGCGAAACTTGAACGGCCAGTTGTGAACTGCCTTCATCATTCTGCGGTGCTCCGATCGTTAAGCAGGTTGTGCCCGTTCCCGCCGTCGCTCCAGCAAGTCGGCATACAGCCAAGCATTGTTGATGATAATGTTTCTATAGCTGTTGTTGTTGTTATTGCTGCTGTTGCTGTTGTTGTTGCCGTTACTGTCGTTGTTGCCGATGCTGTCGTTTCCTTGACCATTGTTGTTGTTGTATGTGGAGAAGAGTCCTTGTAGTAAAGGGAGAAGCCTTGCACTGCCACCTCTTCCGGATATGCTAAAACGTGTTGGTAGCAGATCCTTCAGAAAGGAACCTCTGCCTCTACCGGCTGCAATCGGTGAACTGGTTGTCGGAAGTCCAGGATTACTTATGTTGTTTCCCGGTAATGAGTAGGCTCCATCGCCGTTCGTCTCTCCTTCTTGCTCGGCTTGATCTTGCAGTCCTTGTCCGATGGCTATGTCTGCTGTCCTCCTTTCCTCCGCTACGTTTCCTCTTTCTTCACGTTCACTTCGATTCACTGGATTGGGCCAAGCACAGACAACATCGTCTAATAACACATTAACAAGTGTGCTCAACATCTCTTTCGTTTCCAGTAGAGGTGTGGGGGGTTTTACGATCCACAACCTGTTCCTGTAGTGAAGAAGACGTGACCGTAGCTGCTCGAGGGTATTCATTTGATTCCCTTTTAAAGCATCGTCTACGAGCTTCTTAAGTTCCCGAATCCTGACTTGACATGTTTCTATGTTCACAGTCGGACTCATAACATGTTCCGAACTGTGCTGAACTGGCTCTTAGAGTGTATCCTCCTGAATCACGAGAGCTTTCAGTTTAATGACCTTTGACCTGTGAGTCATTGGTCCTAGGTTGACTGCGTAGCGAAGCGCTAGCTCGTAGTCAATCTCTTCGTGACTCAAATGCGTCAACCCCATGTTGCAAATCTATTAAAATCCCAAAACCAAACCAAAAGCTTAATTATCCCAAATCACACAATATAAATGGTAATGCTGTACTTATGGGTTATTCAGTTGGGCTACTGCTTCTCAGTTGCCGCATTCGACCAGCCAGCAACGCTAGATGAATCTCACGCAGGCCATCGCACTTCATCCCGGTCACAACGCAGTGGATTGGTTTCCCTACGTAGAAGTTCGTGTTGCCGACCAGATAAGATAAGATCACGGAGAAGACACCGGTCTCACCGGTTCCCAAGTCACTTCACCGGCTATCGGTCTACTTTCCTCGCTCGCTGGTATTCCTAACCAGCAGTTGGATGCAGTGTATGCCAATTCGTAGTACCGATCCGATGGTTTGTGCTTGGAAACGAGTCGATTCAGACAGTCTGCCAAACAAACTCCGAAAAAAGAGCCCTAAGGAGGATTTGCAATCTACAAAAAGGGCGACAAGTTGGATTGCTGCAACTACCACGCGATCACACTGCTGAGCGCCGCCTACAAGGTACTCTCCCAAATTCTATGCCGCCGTCTGTCACCATATGCAAGAGAGTTCGTGGGGCAATACCAGGCGGGATTCATAGGTGCCCACGCTACCACGGACCAAATTTTCGCGATTCGGCAGGTTCTGCAGAAATGCCGCGAATACAACGTGCCCACACATCATTT